TGGCCCTCCCCGTGGGCTGCCACGTCACTCTCTCCTCTGAAGTCCCCTCCGCAGCTGGAGCGTGAGATGGTCTCGTCTCCGGAGTGCAGCGAGATGCCTCTCGATCTCTCCTCCAAGTCCAATCGTCAGAAGCTGCCTCCGCCCAGCCAACGCAAAACTCCTCCTATGCCCATCCTCACACCCGTGCACACCAGCGGCAAAGCCCTTCTCACCACGGTCCTGTCCAAGTCCCAGCGTGCGGCCCAGACCACGGGCAGCAGCGTCACCTCGTGTCTTGGCACCACCCCTCCCTTAGTCATCTTCCCCGAGTTCTTGCGCAATGGTGAGCAGGGCTCCTGGGTGAAGAACACCGCGCTCATCAGCGCCATTCCAGGCACCTACGTCGGCGTCGCCAACCCAGTGCCTGCCTCGCTGCTGCTCAGCAAAGACCCTGCTGTGAGCTTCAGCAGGGACCCGCGCCACCTTCCCAAGCAGGAGCCTATTTCCATCATCGATCAGGGAGAACCTCGCAGCGCTGGGGTTCCCTGTGGAAAGAAAGCCAACCAGACCAGTGCAGAAGGACAGCAGGATCCTGCCAGGAGACCTCTTCATGGCAGAGTTACTGCAGGAGCTCCTTTGTGTCAGTCCAAGGACATCTCCACCTGGAATCCTGGCCAGGGAAGTGTGTACCCACGATGCCCTGTGAACGGAAAACCTTCCAATCCTCAGCTTCTGCCCCTTGGCTGGTCTCCTTATCATCAAACCCCCCTGCTTTCGATTGGCATCTCCACAGCAGGGCAGCTGCCCCCAGGCCAGAATAGCTCCTGCAAACCAGCGGGGGCAGGGGAGCTCCTGACATTCCCGAGCGTGCAGCCCGCTTTTTTTGCCCAGAGCCTGCCGGGGGGGCTGCCCAGGCTTCCACCTCAGGAACGGGAAGCTGCAGCCAAGAGCAAGAGCTGCCGGGCCTTGCCCAAACTCTATGAGCAGCCGGTCAACCCAGTCCTGTTGGATGCAGGTCCATCTCCTCAGTCCAGTGCTTTGGATGTGAAAGGGGAGAAGGGGAAGCTGGACAACCCTCAGAAGAGTCAGGAGTGTGATCCACCAAAGCCTGACTCCAGTAAGGAGGGCAATGTAGAGAACGTACAGACTGAGGCTCCTCCCCAGGGGAGCTGTAGCCTCAAGCAGTTGGATGCAAAGCCTAAAGCCCAAGTGTTGGCAGCATATTTGTCGCACGATGTGCCGGCGGCAGGGCAGCAGAGCCTGCGAGTGAGTTCAGAGGTGCCTCCTGCACCGGGGGGGCGCCAGCGCAAGGAGCATTTTTCCCTGGAGGCCCCTGCCGCAGAGCCCCTCCAGTGCGTGCATCAGGTGGATCTGTGCAGGGTCAAGAAGGAGCACGTGGAGTGTGACCTGTCATTCACTCCTGTGACTTGCCTCCGAGCTGGGACTGCTCCCCAGGCCTTTGCCGAGGTCAAGCTCAAAGGAGCAGGACAGATCAAGCAAGAGGGCAGCGTGCGCTGCAAGTCCAAGCGGCAGCATGACGGGGACACCAGGCAGGCCCACAAGAGAGTGAAGTGCCAAGGCCAGGAGAGCAAGGATTCTCCTGGGAAGTCGGGGAGCCGGAGCGTGCATGGCCGGAAGGTGTGCGAATTGGCCGGGGCTGCTGGGTTATGGCAGAGGTTGGCAGGAGGGGCTGGGGATGAGGAGGGAGCTCTTGTGGGGGAGGGCAAGTTGAGTGCACAGGATTTTCCACCCGTGCTGTTTGGAGTTATGTGGCTGTGGATAAGTGCAGGATATCCAGAGCAAAAATGGATCTGGGGTGTTAAAGATGCTGGAGGGCACCAGCATGATGAGTGGGGGGGACAGCATTTTGTCCCTTCTCCTTTTTTGCTCCAGCTCAGTCGGTCACCAGCTCAAGCTTCAGTCTGTGTCCTCCACACACAGTGGCGAAAACATCACGACAATCCACATGAACCTGGCAGGCGAGAAGCCCAGCCCGGCCTGGGGTCGGTGAAGGACCACAACAGCCTCAGGGTA